ATAACAGAACTAAAGTGTCAGAAGGGACAGCCAGCATTTACACAAAGTGCAAACTAGTTATTTACCTAAACACAACCAGTCTGTTTTCTGGGGTAACACTGTGATTCATCCCCACACAAAATAGCAGCTGGCTAAAAATCCTTACCAGATTTGATGTCACCGAGGGCATCTTTGCCTGTGGCACCCGAGGTAACAGTACTGGCAGAGGATCCACCTGCAAAGGGCTTCTGGCATCTCTTCGGAGCGTTTCTATTTTTATGATATTCTTCTCATCATCTGTGCAAAGCAGCAGAGAATTCCTGTGCTATGAATCAAATTTTTTTTAGCGTTCCCTTGGATGATAAGCTCTGATAAGTGTTTTGAAGACATGTTTCACACGGTTAGCAAAATAACCTCTTTATTCCCACAGAAGAGATCATTCCCAAATACATCTCTCTCCCATGGCATCTTTGCAAAAATAGCTGAAATCCCCCTCCTGAGCCCTCCCTTTAAATGTGATCCTTACCAGAGGCTGACCCTTCCCAGTGCCTGCAGATCAATTCTTCCATGCAAACCAGGACTTCACTCCAGACATCATCAAATACAAATGTCAGCACGGAATCCTTCATGCAGGAATAGGGAGAGACAGGGGGAAACCCCAATTTCCGTCTGCCAGAGGATAGTACCATTTTCCTCTTCTGCAACTCCTCCTCCCTGTAACAAAGTAAGTATTACCTGCACCAGAAACACACTGTGTCCTGTATTTACTTTTAGTTTTCCCACTGACCTCGGTGAGAAATGACTGACCCACCCTGGCCTCCCTACACAGAATGATTATAAATCATACTCCATGAACAGTAATTTACCCATGAGATCAAATTCACATCAAAAAAATCAGTATTAATTGTTACAGTGATACTTCTTCATCACATTGTTAGGCTCCATATCTAATGACAGGACAGAATCCTGAAGGCAAGAGAGTGATATTATTTGCTGCAGCAATGTCTCTCTGGCCTGGTAAAACCAAGAAACATAACAGTTTAAATTTAATGGTCCATGCAGATAAGTGGCTTTAATTATTAAAACCAATTAAGTACTCAGGAACTGACAGTACTCTCCAGAGTCCTTACCCAGGCCATATGTTCATACTGTAGGGTTGAGTAATGTAAAGGGGTAAAAAGATAAAAATAGTGGTAATTGTTTCTTGAGAACCATAAAATCCACTCTACTTCTTAAAAGCTACCACTGAAAAAAAATCTAGAAAGGTACAATTCCACCCAAAATGCCATTACAAAACAGAAGCAGCACACTGCTGTTGCATAACTAACAGCAGTGAATTCGACAGAGTATAAAAAAGAAATGGTGCTTAAAAACCATTATTTGTATTATTGTATGTATTATTAAATACACAGACTCTTGGTTATGATGGAATGAATTATTCAAACCAAGCAGAAAAATGGACAGTATGAAAAATTATCAAAATATTCCTAAACATGATTTAGTGAAAGAAATGGTCCTAGGAAATAGGTTGGGAAAATTCCCAGTGCCTGGGAAATCTCAGGCCTTTGAAAGCTCTCTAGAGAAAAGATAAATAAATTCATCAAGAATGTGTATCTCGACTGCAGGAACCCCAGGACACTATTTTAATATTCAATACCTACACATCTCTGTGGTCAAATGCCAAGTATTCCTCCAGTATGCCTTCGGAGAGAATGACTTCCTCTTCCCCTTCATCGCTCTCTGAGCAACACGAGGTCAGAGGCTTGGAAGGGTCGGCCTTTTTGTGAGCAGGAGCAACAAAAAGTGGCACCTTCTTGCCCAAAACACTAAATCTGAACAGGTGACTGTTTTCAGAAAGCAGAAATAAAGGTAAGTTGTTATTCCACCTCAGATAACTGAGAGACAGCACGGTTGTTAAGAGCAAGCAGTAGTGAGGCCAAAAAATTATTCATTACAGTAACAACTTTTGGTTTGGATACCTTTTAATTCTTGCTAAGAAACCTGAAACTTCAGGGAAAAAATACCCAAAGCTGATTAAAAAGCATTCTAAAACATTAAATAATAAAAGCAGCGCTAACATAGTGCTTTGCATTTTTTAAGGCCTAGGCAAATTTAACAGATGATCAATAATAAAACCAGCTACAGTACACACATATTCTTAAGAAATCAGCAGCAGCAAAGATATTTCTATTTACTGGTCATTTCACTGTAGTCAGCAAAAGCACAGCTACATGTTCTTGCTATTCTAAGTATACTAAATTCAGTTAAAAAGGAAAAAAAAAAGTGTGCTTTGTTCCAAACTCAGCCTAACAGGAAGGCTGCACACTTCAAGAAGCAGAGAACAAACCTGCCTTCCCACCTTGTCACGATCCAGGCTCACTGCTGGTACTTACTCATCAGAATCCTTTTCCTGTGGCGGACTTACATCTGAGGGAGCCAAACTGCCTGAGGCAGAACTCGAGTACCACCCATAGCCTTCATCTGTGGGGATCACCACCTGCTTCCCCACCACCCTGCCACGGCAAAAGCAAAGCATAAATACAGCAGAAAATCTTGGCAGTACGATTATTGAAGGGTGTAAGAACAGCAGCACATCCCAAAAGTTGTCCTGGGAAGCTGTGCAGTTTTCCTGGTGATACTTTGAGTTTCCTAAGAGAATTCTGCTCTGTTAAAGCCAAGTCAGTCGCAGATAGCAACAAACCTCTGTCAAGGAACCACATGTGAGGTAAGAGGATGTTCACTAGTGACAGGCAGGCACATCACCAGAGTGATTTTTTTATCTCTACCCACTGCATAATTGCACAAACCCACCCTGCCACCTGTTTTAAAAGCAATTGTGTGCATCCCCAGCCTGGTTGTGAAGGTACCAGCATCAGTCCATTAACAAAATACCTGAGATGAGGAAAGCTGGAGGACCACTGGTGGCATTCCTCTCGCAGTCCCTCAACGTGAACATTTTCTTTCTGCTCATACAGAAGCTCATCAATTTGTCGGAACATCTGCTGAACTTGTTGTGTGGCAGCTTTGTCGAATTCCTAGAGAGGAATGAAAATACCTCGTGAACAGCATTTGCAGGTTTTTTTTTTAACTTGATCTTTTAAAATAGGATTGAAAAACACAACTATTTGTTTAAAGCTTAGCAGGATTGCATAAGAAGATTTTAACTTTAAATCATTTTCTCCCAGAGATGATGCAGCCTGCTCTTAAGATGGATGGCAGCCACATAAAAAGCTTACATTGACACAGTAAAAAAAAACTATTAAAGCATTTTGAAATACCCATATTATTATATTAAGCTACAAGACTTAAAGAAATCAGAACAGGAAGGATAAAATTCAGTGATATTTTAATGCAATGGAGGATTTGTTGCTTCCAGAGTCCACAAACAACAGCAACACAAAAAGCAATGCAGGCAGGCTGGTGGGAAACACTAAACCTGAAGGATGGTCAGGTCCTTGGTTACATGTAGATAAGAAATTTGGGTCAGTTCTGGGATCATTTAAATCTAAACAGCTCCATCTCACTTTCCAGAAGGCAACAGCACACTTGACTTTGGTGGAATGAGGATTAATCAAACATTTCTAAATGAAAATAATGTTTTAGGAGCTTACTGTATTTTGAGAAACATGCAAGGATGCAGAAGTTTGATAAACTCACACCAAGCACCTGAAAGTCGTCCAGCCATGGCTGGGTTCCACAATAACAGCATTTATAGATACACTCGTGCACTAAATGATTTGCATTTCCAAAATTTTTAGTGGAAATGCAGAATATTAACAGAACAGTATGAGCCTCGTATGTTTTGAACTGAAAGACGGAAAGAGGTAAAAAAGATGTTCTTTCTCTAGTCACTACCATGATTTTTTGACAGATGCAGTCATTTCTATTCTGACATGTCTTTGCAGTGGTATTTCAAGTGTCTTTCTGTGCTAGATTTGGCTCGGATGATTATGTTCTACTCACGTCATAGCCCCAAGAGAAGACTGAGCTGTCTTCTGTGGAGGTGTCAGCACAACCCTGACTAGCAGTCCGTGGATCCCCATGATCGTCCGATTCCTTATGGACGCCCGACTCCCTGAAACGCGCACGTCGAGCCAAAAAAAAAAATAAAAAAGCAAAACAGCCCACAATGAAAAATTACAAATCAAGTGTGCCAGTAAACAAAGATCAGAATAGCTGGATCAGATATATCATGACAAGTACCTGGGGTTCTGGCCAAGGTTTTCAGCCGTGGGTGTGGCTGAGCACACCTGAGCCCGTGGCTCTGGCAGTGGGTGATTCCTCAAGGCATGTTTTGGCAGTCCTTGCCTGAAAAAACAGAAGTGGAACTTGGTGTTACTTACAAGAATAAACATTTACGGAGTTCCCAATGAGCTTTATAGGTTTTTCTTTCCTGCTTCTCAAGGACCGTGCACACATTTATTATTACAAAGCTAATTCTTGTCGCCAAAGCTTTAAGGTGTCAAAACTAACTTCAGGATAAATAGGGAATTAAAGGTCTTGGCTTTAAAATCAGTTAAATTTAAGCTTCAGATGTTATGAAATGGGCTACAGCTCCCTAGAAGCAGAGACAACTCAATTATCTATGTATATTAATAAAATTTAATTAAATTAAATAGAACAGGAGTAAACGAGCTTGGTAAATCAGAACTGACCCAACTCTTGGGTCAGGTGGAAAAAAGCCAGTTACGGAGATTTAATCGCGTTCTGTCACACCGGTGTCTGGCCGGGACCGGTGCTCAGCAATCCCGGGAATCCCGGGAACCATCTCCCGTGGGGGACATGCGGTGACCGGGCCGTCACGGGGCCCTGTTTGGTGCTGGGGGGAGCGCGGGCGGCAGGCCCGGCAGTGGGGCCGGGGGGGGATCGCGACCGGCACCGCGCTCGGGCTCGGGGCCGCGCCGGGCACCGAGGTAGCGGCGGCCACTCACGCCTGCACCGGTTTCCGCGCGTATCGCGATATCATCCTCAGCGCCGCCGCCCCGCCGCCGCCGCCATCGCGCCGCTCCTCCCGCGGGGGTGGAGCGCGGCCCCGGCGCGATGGAGGCGCTGCGGCGGCCGGCGCTGCCCGAGGACTCGGTGCGCTACCGCCTGTTCGCGGCGGCGGCGGCGGGCCCGGGCGGCGAGGCGCTGCTGCGGCGCTGCGCTGAGCTGGCCCTGGTGCGCTTCGCCCCGCTCCTGGCCGCCTACGTGTGGCAGCGGCAGCCGTTCCGCCTGCACTACGTGCCGCGCCGCGGTGAGCAGGGAGCGGGCCGGCAGGCACGGCGGGAGGGGAGGAGCGCCCGGAGGGGGCGTGTGAGGGGGATCTGGCAGCCGGGTAACCGGGAGCGTGTGAGGGACTCCCGGCCGCTCGGAACCGGGAGCGTGTGAGGGACTCCCGGCCGCTCGGAACCAGGAGCGTGTGAGGGGCACCCGGCGGGACCCCGTGAGGGAGGCCGAGGGTGTGTGAGGGGGGACCCTGCGGCTTCAGGGACTCACAGTGTCACACCAATGGCCAGGCTAGAAGGGACCCCAGTGAAGCATCTGGCGCCACCTCCCTGCTGCAGCAGGGTCACCCCAGAGCACACGATACAAGATTTTGTCAGCAGGGTCTGGAATATCCCCAGTGAGGCAAACTCCACAGCCTGTGTGGACAGTGTGTGGTTGCTGAGCCGCCTCTCGTCTCTCTGCCCCGTCCAGGCGAGACGCCGGCGCACATCGGCGGCACCACCCTGTTCGGGGATAACGTGGAGGATGAGTGGTTTATTGTGTACCTGGTCCGGGAGATCACCAGGGAGTTCCCGGGGCTGGCAGCCAGGTAAGGCAGATCCTGCTGAGGTGCTTTTTTGGGAGGGGTGCAAAGGGGTATTGCCTATGCTCTGAAGGTCCTGTCTTAATTGTCCTCATCCTTGGAGGTGTTTCCCCATCCCATACACGTTTGAAGTGTCCAAGGCCAGGTTGGATGGGGCTTGGGGCAGCCTGGGCTAGTGGAAGGTGTGCCTACCTATGCCAGGAGGGGTGGAACCAGATGACATTTAAGGTCCCTTCTAACCTAAGCCTTTCTGGGCTTCTGTGAATGTTAAAAAAAAAAGCCCAGCAGACATGGATTCAGAAGTGTGTTGTGCTCTGCAGGGCTTTTCCTTCTAAGAAACTAATTTCTTCTTGGCCAGGATCGATGACAACGATGGAGAGTTTCTCTTGATAGAAGCAGCTGATTTTCTCCCAAAATGGCTGAGTCCTGAGAACAGTGAAAACAGGGTGAGTAAAGCTTTTGTACAGTTGGCAAAGGGGCCACAGTAGCCTTTTATGTAGCAGCTAGAGTTTTCTCTTGCACCTCTAGCCAGGTGGACTGCCTCTGAAAATCCAGTGCTTGTCTGTCCCTTACTGTTGCTCCCTTCAGGAGCATTCCTGTATCCACCTGAACTTTCTAGCTCTGCTAGAACCACTTGGATATTTTTATTTATTTTTTTTTAACATATTCTGGAGTGTTTAAGCAAGAGGATTTGCTGCCATCAGAGTAGGGAATGCTCAGGGTTGGAGTGTTGCTATCTCTGTAAGGACACAGGCTTTGTCTGGTATAGGTGAAATAATGATCAGACACCTTCACCTGGATATGGATGGTTGCTAGTACGTCACTGGCAATGGAATAGAATGGAAATAATTAACTTAGTCATTAGCAAAAAATTGTTTGATTATTTTTCCCCTTAATCCAATATTCCTGAAAGGATTGGAACACTACACAAAATTGATTGCAAGTGTGTACCTGGACTATCAGGTTCATCTTTTCCTTTTGTTTGAGGGAAAACACAGAGTGAAGGAGTTGAGGACATTGCATTCAGGGCTTTTCTTAGGATCAGGAACCAGGAGAGGTCACATGTAGCACCTGAAATAATGCTTTTTAATCCCTGTGATGTTCTGAAGTAGGTTATGATGATTCTCCTGAAGCACTGCTCTAGTTGAAGATGAAACTTGGTGTTAGTGTTCTTAAGGAAACAAGATATATTTGACGAAACTCGCAGTTAAAATAGGGGTTTTTACTGGTTGGATCATGGTATCTGGCATCTTGAATAACTTTAAAAAAAAAATCTATACTGCTTCCTGTATTGGCTCTCTATTTGTACTTTATATTCTAAACAAATGTATTTGTATATGAAATGAAATTTTCCATCGCTCTGTGTGTGACTGTTCTTACCCTGTCTGATGAGAGCATTCCTGTCTGCCAGGTGTTCTTTTACAAAGGAGAGCTGCACATCATTCCACTGTCGGAGACTTCAGAGCAGGACTGGGACCTCCCTGCTCCCTGCCCCACCATCCCACAGGCATTGGCACTGTTATCCACCCGCTCTGAGGAGTTCCTGGCTGCAGAGCCCATCAGAGCTGCGCTGTATAAACGCATCGAGGGGTATGTGGGGGCTTTATTTCGGTCCTCTGCAACAGTGGGGTTTGGTTCTGTGCTCTCTGGGGTTTAAACATTTCCTCAGTGGGTGTGTTCTTCTCAGAAACCCGCAGCTAGAGGGTTTTCCTGTGGCACTCTTGGAAAGAGGGAGATCAATGTCTTGTAGGCTGTGGTCTGGGGGATCTGACACTGGTTCACTGCTGTAATTCCACAATGACAAGAGTTACTCTTCCTTCACATCTTATACTGAAAAATATGGAAGTTCCATGATCTTTTAGGAGCCCTGTGTAAGAGGAAAAAGAGTATTTGACCTAAAATGTAGAACTAGCAGAATTGTCAGAGCTTCAGCTTGTCACAGCTGTGTCCATCCCTGTACTTTATTTTTTGCAAGGATTTGACTGTGTAACTTTTACAGAGTATGGTGGAGAATACTGCCTAGCTGCTTATGTTGGTTAAGTTCACAGGGACTCATCTTACCCATGTGGGGGATTCAATTTTATTAGCCATGTACATTTATATAAATGAATTATAGAAACAGACATTCTAGGCATTAGATTGGCCAAGTTTTGACTCCAGAATAATCTTCTGACCCGTGATACAGGTAAATATTTAAGTGAAAATGAGCCTCATGATAGAAAAGGAGTGGTTTAGTTTGCAGTACACTTCCTACTCTCTGTTGCTGTTCAGGTATCCCGAGAAGATCCAGGCCTCGCTGCACCGGGCCCACTGCTTCCTCCCGGCCGGAATCGTGGCCGTGCTGAGGCAGCGCCCGTCCCTGGTGGCTGCGGCCGTCCAGGCCTTCTACCTGCGGGATCCGGGCGATTTACGGGCCTGCCGGCGCCCTTTCAGAACCTTCCCTGCCGACCAGCGAGTGATGACCCTGGTAAGTGCTCTGTAAAGCCACTGATAACCCTGATAAGTGTTCTTCTAAAACCTGTGATGACCCTGAGAAGTGCTCTTCTGAAGCCTTGTCACTTAATTCCCTTCTGTAACTGACAAGGGTTCTGTGGCCAATGGTATAAACATATAGATTTGACTTAAAACTGCGGGGTTTATGTTGTTTCTGTTTTTGTTTTTTCCTTCTTGCTCCAGGGTTGAATTTCCAGGTCATTGCATTAGTAGCTTCTCTGGATCCATGTGGCTGGACTTTCAAAGGGCTGATCATGAGAGAATTGTTTCTGAAAGCAGAGGTTGTGATAATAGTTCCTCTGCTGAAATGCCTGCTGGGTAAATTGATCTCCTTGTGTGATCAGAGCAGTTTGACAGCACTGCCAGCCCAGTGACCAGTGGTTCATTCCAAGGCTTTTCACCTTCTCAGCTGTGCTCACACAGCTCTGTGAAAGCTTTTATTGTTTTATGAGCACTGTCCAAGCACTGTTGTATCTGATGCACTTTGTTACAGAGTTGCCCACTAGACTCCTGAAAAGAAGCTTCAGAGCCAAATTTTGGACTTCTAAACTGTTTCCAAAATCTCAACTTTTAATCAAATTTAATTTTAATTGAAAATACACCTTATTGATGTGAATACAGAATACTGAGGATTTTTCCTAATGTATTTAGACTGATGAAAGTTCATGTTTACTTGAGTATTTCAATTTGGAACATACTTTGTAAAGCCTGAAAAGCAGTTTATCAGAAAAAATCTATCAAAGATCTATTTTTAATGCAGTCTCAGGTATTGCCTGTAACATGTGTGCCTTCAAACAGGCTTTAGTGAGCTTGGTGGGAGTGTCCACAACACAGTCACGCTGCAGGGAGTGGGTTTTTTTCTGCTCTGGCTGTTTCAGGTGACTTTCACTCGGTGTTTGTATGCACAGCTGGTGCAGCAGAAGTTTGTTCCAGACAGACGCAGTGGGTACACCTTGCCCACCCCATCTCATCCTCAGTACAGAGCCTACGAGCTGGGCATGAAACTGGTAATGATTTTTGATGCATTTTGTACTTAGTTTATGTATGTCCAGGAAATGAGTTGTTGTCAGGAAGCTGTCTTCTTGTCCAGGAAAATGTGGGCAAAGTCTGTCACATCTTTGACAACCTCTTCTTGTTGAATCTTTTATATTCAGGCTCATGGCTTTGAAATTTTGTGCTCCAAGAGCAGTAAAGTAGCTCCTGATGCCAAGAGAAATGTGTTAAGCGGTCCTCTGTGGGAGAGGTTCCTCAGGAGCTTGAAGGAAAAAGATTATTTCAAGGTGAGGCAGCGTGTCCGTGGCTTTTAAACATTCCTGGGAAAATATATTTTAGCTCTTGAACTTGTGTAAGGACTTGCAGCAGGGTAAGAACTTGAATCCTTATCTCTGTGTAAAATGAATTAGTGTCTTTAAAGGGGGCATGTGCAGTTTGTTCCCCTTTGAAAGTAATTTATTTTGGAAATTAAAAATGAAAAAGCACGTTTTGGGCATTGATTCATTCATCTTGAAAAAGAGGAGAAATACACTTGAATGGAGAAAATCACCGTATGATTGTGTGAGTTGTAACTGATTTCATTGGTTTGCATTTAATTTCCACACCTCTAGAATGAAATATTCTTCAAGATCCATACATAACACCACAGACCTATTTGGGACCATGCAAGTGTAATTTTTATGTGTGTGTGGTTTTTGTGAGTTCTTGGGGTTTTGGTGAGGTTTTGTGGGTTTTTTTTAAAGGGTGCCTTTGACTACTTATTTGAAGTCAATAAATTGGACATAAATTGACTTTTTATTTGAAGGTTATAAAATTGGACAAGTCTATTGAAATTCTTAGGTTAGTATCAAATATAGGAATATTCATGCTATATTCAGTTCCAAGTGTACGTAGCAAAGAGGTTTTACTTGTTTTGGTTCTCTCAGCATTTCTGTGTGACAAACAGTCATCCTTAGGAAGCCTGACTGTGAGGAGGGAGGGTAAGGACAATTGTTTGGATTCATGCCTGTGACTTGCATTAAATAGGGAGAAATGGAAGGATCTGCGAAGTACCTGGAGCTGTTGCATATGGCAGAAGATCACTTCCAGCAATCTGTTGCCCTGCCAGAAAGGTAAGAGCTACTCGAAAGTCATGAGAATCCTATACTCTGTCTACAAATCCTTTAACTGACCTTTAAAATCCTTGTTATAAAAAACCTGAGCCCTTTTCTCCATCATACATTTGACATGGGTGCTGTGGCCAGGACATACAAGTACCAATTCCTCTAGAACACTCCACCAGGAGAAGTTCTTGCTTGAGTAACTCTTCATCTCAGTTTTGTGAAATGCTGAGCTCTTCCAAGTGGGTTGAGAGGTGACTGAAAAGCATTATTTGCTTGGTTGACTGTAGAAAGTGTAGAGAAGTTTCATTGAAAAGCAGTCCCTGTGAATAATAAATACAGAGTAACCTGTCTCCTTTGCTCAAGGAGCTGGTTGTAGATTTCTCTGAAAGATCAAAGCCAAAAAATAAATCACTACAAAAACACCTGAGGCTTTGCCAGCTCACAGGATCTTGACTGTTAGTTTTTGAGTTTCCAGTCTGTGCTGTTTGGGATCTGGCAATCTTAGTAAGGCAAAATAAATATAAAGAAAAAGAGCAATGACAAATGGGCTTTGGGGCCATCAGCTGGGAATTGCAGGGACTGTGTCCTGTTTTAGCCAATTCTCTGTGTAGCTCTCTGGTACTTCCCCCAGATTCATTTCCCTTTTGGATGTGTTTGCACAGATGAAAAAATGGAGAATTCACGTGAAAACCTGAATGCAGAGCATGTGATCTCATTGAATCCAATTCAGTAAACTGACTTTTTTTCTTCTAGCTCTGTTGAAGTGAGCCCAGGTGATGAAATCCTGACACTGCTACAGACAATATCCATTGATTTGAAGGAATTTGAGAGAGAAGCAGCTTGTCTTCCTGCAGAGGATGGTGAGCTGGATGGGGGAAATCATTCCTATTACAGATGATTCTTTGTGAGGGGAAAGGGGGAATGTTGACAGCTGTGAAGAGAGAGCAAATCCAGCCTTCATTAAGACTAAATACTGGATTGGGTCTCTCAATTTTGTGTGAGCCTTTTTCTTCTTCCACTTACTGGCCAAAGGATTCTCAGTGACTAGAATGGTGTCTCTTAGTTTGAACTCTGCAGAGTTTTAAAGTAGTGAAATGAAATATCCACTCTTTTCTTCTCAGCCTCTCTCTGCCTTATGCCATATGTGACCCAGGATCAGCACAAAAACTTAACTGCAAAAGTGAGCTGCAAAGTGGTTGCAGTCCTGTCAGTCAGCTGGTTTGTGCCCTGGGGGCCAGCAGGCCTGTGCAGAGTAACAGATCTGTCCTGTGTTCTTTCAGATGACAGCTGGCTGGATATTACACCAGATGCTCTGGATCAGATGCTGAAGGAGACAAGAAATGAGTCCCTTCCTTCCACAAATGAGGAAGAGGAAAAATACGACTTGGAAACAGTTGCTGAGAGCATGAAGGCTTTTGTGTCCAAAGTGTCCACGCATGAGGGAGCAGAAATGCCATGGTAGTAGCACTTTGAGTTTGGGGTGTGGTGTAGAATGTTGTGCTCTGCTGCAGCCCTGT